CAGAAGACCCAATGCTATTATGGGCTACTGGACTCTTTTAGAATATTTTGCTGAGTTTACACACCTATAATATTCAATAACGGAACTTAGGAAAAATGGGGTACACCGATGAATGTCCATTCTGTATCTGTGTTTTCAAAGTGGTTGGGGTAGATATATAGTTGCATTCTCTTAATGAATAGAATGATTTGTTCTAATGGTGTTTGTTAATAGGACCACAAGTCCGCATCTTGTACAGCAACTAACCACTAAGAAGAATATATGCAGTGTATTATTTGTTGAAACTGTACTTCCGATTTGATTTGAAAAAAAAATAAAATAAAATAAACCATGTAGACAAGGCTGGGTGTGGTGGCCCACGCCTGTAATCCCAGCAGTCAGGAGGCTGAGGCAGGAAGATTGCTGTAATTTTATTTATTTAAAAAAAATTCTCCTGTAATTATGACTAAGTTTAATTTTGCAAAATTCAGGGTAGAAAATAAGAACTCACATGTGTCAAGCAAGAGGGACTGCAACTGTGCTACATATCAAATATTTGTGAACCAACGTTTGCAACTAAATAAAGTTTTCTCTAAGTATAATAAACATGTATGTCAAAATGAATAATGAGTTTTTAAAAGTTTTTAAGTAAATTATTCATGAGATTATATGCTACAAAATGAGATATGACAAAAGATTAGATGACAGATATACAAAACTGTAACATGACAGAGTAATCAAAGAATATTAAAAAATCAAAAATTCACTTAAATATATAGTAATTTTATATGGACATATATTTCACTGACAAAACTAATTTATTGAGATTGATGAAAAAAAGTTCTACAGGAAACACACAAACAAGAAATACAAAGCATAAAAGAAAACACAAACCCAGAGAAAGAGGCAGAAAGGAAGCAACTGAAAGGAAAGCAAACACCTTGAAGTGAAAAATAAACTTATATTAACCCTAAACATTAGACATGGAGGCTGGGGAGATAGCTCAGTAGAATAAGTGCTTGCCTGGAAAGAGAAAGGGTCTGAGTTCAATCCCCGGTTCTGCCAAAAAAAAAAAATTAGACACGATTCTCTTTGAGTTTCTGTGAATAACAGCAGATTATACAAATTTCTGTAGCTATTTTACACCTAGTTCTAGAGTAACACCGCATCATAACTGCATGTTGGTTGTCATGACAGATAAATGCTTGCAGTACTGAAGATGTGAAAAGACTGATTTACATTCCTGATGAGAGATGTGTGTTCACGTCTTTTACTTTGGACTGCATACACGCTGTTCACGAGTCATGAGAATGAAGGGACTAACAGTAGGGAAACAGGCATGGATTAATGAAGAGGTTTTAACTAGCCATGAAGCAGGTTTGTCGTAAAAAGAGAACCAAGCATTCATGATAGACGTCAAAACATAGAAGGATACAAAGGCACAGACCAGGATGAGGATGCTTTGAGAAGCTCTGGTCTCAGGAGAGGAGCTTGTTGATATGTTGTGTCTGTGAATATGCTGAGTTCGCTGCTTGTGCTGGTAAAGAATGAAAACCATGGAGCCACTGCTCCAGATCATAAGTTGCAAACACAAAATGTCGTGTGATAATGTCAATGCCACAAAAATGGAGTTGTTGTCTTTGCTAGAATTTGTAACTGAACAGTACTGATAATCAATAGTGGTTGTGAGTTCTGAGTTGTTCCTTTTGTCGACGACAAACAAAACAGCTCTGAAGTTTAGCATCATGTGCAGGACCCAGAATATGAAGGGACAGAGTCCAATGTATTTTAGAGCTTTCATCTTTGCCCATTTTGAGCTCCTGGGGCTGATGGTGATGGCCTGGAAGACACTCAGCAGACAGGTAGTGCTGAAAGACACACCCTTGCCTATCATTTGAACATAGAAAACCAGTTTGCATCCATCATTATTCAGGAAGTCTTTCATACCAAGCACTGACATGGTCTCTGGGATTCCTCTGGAGAAAATGACTAAGAGGTTGGCCACAGTAAGGTGCCTGAGTATCAAATCTATGGACCTAACCCTGTAGCCACTTAAGTAAAGGAAGGTAGAATGCCATAAAAGGCAGAAATTTCCCAGGCTTCCAATGACAATGGGAATAAGAAAGAAGATTACAAATTTCAGATCCATTCTTGTCATTCCCCTCTAGTGCAGGATTCAAAATCGACATTCAACATGTGGGACTGTGAATAGAAACATCTGCTTCTTGGAAAAGATTTACTATAAATCTACTTAAAATTATATATTTATATTCTTTACCATTTCACTTAGACTATATATTTTGTGTCTTGTTATTTTTATATTCTTATTTTCAGTATATGATTTTTAAATATGTAGATCACTATGCTTCATGGCTTACCAATTCTAATACACTTTGGCCTCACGAAAGGCTGGGCTGGGACTTAATCATATGTGCCTTTAAGGAAAATAATTTTTGTTAAAGCAAAAGTATGTGACTCACCTGAACGTAAAGATGTTTGAGTGTAATGTCCGTGTTTCTGTGATATTGTGCTTATTTCTATGCTGTACAACCGGAGTAAAATTGTGGTGATATTAGAAGCCATATAAACTTTTTGTAATATTTGAAATATCCTCGTAGAAAAATTGCAATGTGATAATCCCCATTTTACATGAACATTTGGTTTATACCACAGAATCACTGCTAAGGGAAAATTCTTAACAAATTGAAATTAATGATGAAGTAATTAATCTCATGACCAATTTGTTTTGATGAACATGTGTCAATGTCACAATAGCAACAAAATGCTTGTTAATATAATTTCACATCGAATTACGTATACTACTTATTTTATTCTATAAGGTAAGACTTTATACATGTAATTGAAGTTCTTGAACTGGAATTAACCTTTTTTGAACAGCTTTGTATTTTAACTTAATTTAGGAAAGCAAAGTATTAGAATGCCATTTGAAAATGATGCCAAAGTACAGTATATATGACAACTAGAATTTAATGTCTTTGTACCACACACCTAGGGAAGGTCTATGATGACATGCAATCACAAAACAACTCAAAAGATGTTAAACCCGGCAAGTGTAACAGGAAACATTTGAATCAGAAAAGCTTGGCCCACTTCATTTCTCTGCAGAATATATTACTCAACTATTAAGTTAAATTTTTATGAAAATAACCTTCCCCAAAGCCAAAACAAGGTCAAATGTGGTCATTAGAATACAAAAGTTTTCTAGGAACCATCGGCATTCATTACCTCCACCCCAATGTGAAAAAAATCATAATAAAACAGAACTTCCCTTTGAACACACTGCTAATACAGGAAGGTGGTGGTTCAAGTTTCTCCAGCATAGTCATTATTGCAAATGAGAGGTTTTACAGAAGCACGAGTGAAAGTGATATAGGTTTCTCTGTGATTTCAAAGAGCACTCTGCACAACAGACTGATTTCCTGATTGCAGTTTAGTGAATCTTCTACACGAGATTACATTACTGCTTGGAGCAGTCATCATTGGCATTTTTCATGATGGTGGTATGAAAGCACATGCGGAGCAGTTAGAGGCTGGTGAAGGTCTTAGACCTCCAGTTTCTGTCCACAACTCAGCCTGAGCTTCAAGAATCATCCCTCCTCCCTGTATGTCTCTCTGTCACTCCAGATGAATCTTTTTTCCACACATGAAAACTCACTGAAACATAGATCTTGAATCAGTTCATTTACGCATTGCCTCTATTTTTCAGATTAGAAAAGAAAATACAGAAAATACTCACCCAGCACCTTTCTGCTGCTCCAGAAACAGACTGAGGTGACAGTCAGGAAACTTACTTGTGGGCAAAAGATAGTCAGACCCAAAGATATGAGACATGGTTGTGTGATCTCAACACCCTTTAAAACGCAATTACCACTTCACCTGTAATTTTCATGACATTAGATGTTCAAGCAGTGGGGATGGCTGTAAGAAACAACTAAAACAATAAGTTCTTTCTAGATCCCAATTCCCAGAAACAATTAGAAGTTTTGGTGAGCATCTCCATGCAGAGTGCGTTTGAATGCTTTGGAGAATCCTGTTCCAGCTAATGGAAACTGATTCCATAGGGTGCAAAGAGAAAACACTGGGGTCTGAAAAATGGAGAAAACTCAGTAAAAAACAAAACAAATAAACAACTCAGTGAAGCCTGTGTATTTTCCTCAATTGTAATTGATATATAAATATAAATGCATGTGTCTGTACTTTGAAAGACAGATTATTGCAACATACATATATATATATTCATATATAATTCATATATATATGAATTACATATAATTAAATATGTAAAATTATACAAATTCTACCTAAATTTTTTATGAGAACAGTTAAATATTATATTAATTTTTGAAGAATATGGCATTGTTAGTGTCCATACTTGCCATGCCTTAAAGTATATCCCTTAAGTTTCCTACTACCTGCAAGGAGTAGTTGCCCAGACCAACTCAGGCCATAGTGACCATGACCAACATTGTGTTTTCACAGTGCAACTGATTTATATTCCAACCACATCATGCAGCATTTTTTTGTCAGTGCATGAATTATTTATTTTAACATAAAATCTTTCCTGTTCATCTATCTCATCCACAATGTCATGTTTTCATCTTTTTAAATGAAGTTACTTTTCCACTCCTCATCTCAATTTCCCCACCAATTGTGCATTTTCTTCCTATTTCATAATATTTATTAAACACTTTAGTTCTCATTTACTCCATTTCTTAAATGTGATATTAACACATGTGTTTTTTATTTACTTCACTTAAGGATATGGTCTTAAGGTTCATCTGTTTTCCTAGAAATGTTTCAAGTATATCCTTTTTATAGATGAGTACTATTCCTTTGTATATGAATACCATATTGTATTTATCCATTCATCAGATGATGAAAATTTGGGTTATTTTCAAGATTACCTAGTAATAAATATTCTTCTAGAATGAATGTCCTTTGGTATAATATGTTTAATTCTTTTAGGAATATAGCAGCAAGGGAAATAGCTGGGTTGCATGGAACCTATAATCCAAGGATTTACCGTATCTGCACACTAATTTCATAACAGTCAAAACTTTATTCACTCACATTAATGCTTGAGAACTGTGCTTTATTCCCCACACCCCAGCTAGCACTTCTTTATTGATTACATGATAGCAGCTACTCCTCCTACAATGAGATAAAATCTGTTTTTTTCCCCTCTCAAATGATCTGCGAGGTTGAACATTACTTTATGTTTTTCTTTGGTGTTCATACTTCTTCAGAAAAGGTACTTTAAATGAGATGCTCAATTTTGGGTTTAGAAAGTGAGGTCCATTAATTTTAGGAACGCTTGATTTTTTCTTTTTGTTTGTGTGCTTTTGTTTTTGTGGAACCAGGAATTAGACTCAGGCCCTTACTCTTGCCAGGCAAGCGCTTATTCTACTGAGCTATCTCCCTGGTCCCCCCCTTTTTTTTCAGTTCTTTGTGTATTCTAGATATTAGTTCTCTGAGGAACAATTGGAAAGAAACACTTGCTCAATTCATATATACAATGATATATCAGCGTGGCATTGACCAAAAAAGAAAGATATAAATATCCAAAGTCATTTTTTTTTTTGCAGAACCAGCGATTGAACTCAGGCCCTTGCACTTGCCATGGAAGCAATTAATCCACTGAGCCATCTCCCTGGTTCAGAAAGATACAAATATCAATAAAATAGATAAAAAGTTGTATAAAACTTCCAAACACCTTCAGCCACCTTATCTTTGATAAAGGACTCAAACACTTTCACTGAAGGGGAAAGAAACTCTAATAAATGGTGTTGAGTAAAATGGCTTTCTATTTACCAAAGACTCCAATTAGACTTGTCTCTCAACATGCACGAAGTTTAAATCAAAATGAATCAATGATCTAAGTATTCGAAAATGGACACTAAATTGCTGGAAGAGGAAATAGGTAGAATTCTTGGAGACATGGGTGTACGAAATGTCTTTGTGAACAAAACCATAGTTATTACAAAAGGAGAGATTACCAAAATCTACAACTGGGATTTTATTAACAGCAAGGTGCTATTTAATTTTCTTATATTTATGAAGTTTTTGCACTTTTAAAAAGTAAAAATAAAAACAGAAGCAAAAACAAATAGCAAGAATGAAGAAAGAGAGAAACAGAGTAATATACAATATATATTGTACAGAATTTCAAAAAAGAACAGAATATTAACAATATTAATAATGTTTTTTTATCATCAGATCTGTTGCTCAGCTATAGGTATGCAAGCTTGGTCAAATATTGCAACATTAATACTTGCTTTCAATAAACTTTATTTTTCTTTGTTTTTTACCTTTTATTTTCAACGTATTTTAAAGAGAATATGATAATAATTGATGGAACATTAGAAGTGGTACACATTTAGAAGAAAAGATGAGAGGTATTCAACTACAGGTTTTGTATTCCACACTGCTGTCTTCTATGCAGTTGCAAATATTGTAGCTATTAGCACCTATAGTCAAAGATAAATCAAAAAGTAAAAATTTTAATAATTAACTCTGTGAAAATGTGAACTGGTATAACCACTATGGAAAGCAGTGTTGAGACTCCTCAGAAAAGTAGGATTGGCAGTCCTATTCAACCCAGCTATTCTCCTTCTTCCTAGTTTTGTTTTCCTTTGCCATTATTTTTCAATATATTTACACTACAGTCTCATAACAGGTATGAGATAATTATTATTATTTTTAACATTTACTTAAGCATGTTCTCTTAGCTATTATGTGATATGTTTTCAGGGAGAATTCTGTGTACTTGTTTGTATTCTGGTATGAAACTCTTTGTAGTTATGTAGTAGGTCAATTTCTTCACAGATTTGCTTCATTGGGTATTTGTTGATTTTTCTTGCCTAACTGATCTGTCTCTTCATGCCAGTGGGATGCTGAGGTCACTCCTTGTAATTGTATTGTCTCTCATTTGATTCTTCATACCTATTAATATTTATTTTATGTAGTTGGATGCACTTGTATTTGGAACATATATATGTACAATTGCTAAATCTTCTTGCAGTTTCCCCTTAACATATACATAATGATCACCTCTATCTCTTTTAATTAGTATTAGCTTGATATTCACATTCTCTATAAAATGAGTAGCTATGCCTTCAATTTAGGGGG